ATGATTAAACTGATAGGATATTAGATTGCAATTGAATTAATCTCAGATGACTAATTTATAGGCCTAAGTATTAAATTATCTTAAGTAAGTTGAATTTGCTACTGTTTTTGATTCTAAAAAGTTGTGAAATTTGATAAATAAGAAATACTTTCATTAGGAGTTTGGTAGACAGATTTTGGATTTATTCCTGAAACTACAGAATAATTATATATCACTTAAGGGTAGGTTTTTGTGTAGTATACGTCTGGATTGCCTCCATCAAAAGAAGAATTGAATATTTAGAAATTATTAAGATTGAAAAAACTATTGTTATAAAAAAGTACTGCAGAGTTAAAATTGTCTTGCATCAAAAAAATAGCTGAAGTGCATACTATTGGTGATGCCAATTCGAGGATATAATAGAAACTCATATGCTGTGGTAAAGAAGGATTATAAATATAAACGGTATAATTACTAAAAGTCACATAAAAGTACTAATTATCAGATTATATAATCATATTATTATCAAATTTTACACTATACATGCTTTTTGAATAATAATATTTAGGTAAATTGTTATAGTTCCAAACTTTGAAACAAATATTCTGATCATTATTGCAAATGTATGATAAAATGAGTTATTAGTTTACTAAATTTATTTATTAAATTTTGAAATTTACTTAAATCACTGAAATAGGGGTTGGAATGTTATTTTAACCTATTGAAACTATGATAACTTCATTGATATTATTGATAAATAGTAAAGAAGATAACAATTAAGTATTCATAACAATTTATATTGGATTAAATTGAATATTTTTGAAAAGCTTATTTATTAATTATTAATTTAATGTAACAATATTTGTGTAATCTAAAGATAGTATTTAGATTTCTTTATTTAGATATAAAATTATAATATATTGATAAGCTACAAGAAAATCTGAGAATACTTCTTAAAATGTAAAATTCGATTATTCAATATTATGTTGACTGTTATAGTAAAATTTAAACAAGTAAATTGTCGAATTTTCTTTTAACCCTGCTATTACCATCATAGGTTATGAACTATATGCAGTCTATAATTAATCTGCATTGATAGAAATTTATGATGAATTTTTAATAGAGCATTAATAGGGTGATTTTTAATTTGGTTGATAGCAATAATTATAATCAAGCGATGAACCATTGTATCCAATCAAAAAAAAACCAAGAACATAGGATTATTTAACAAGTTGTGCAAAAGTATATGTTTAATATATATCAGCTAATTTAGTATAAGTTATCTAATAAAAGCCTTAAGAACTGCTTTCTGAATTTAGTGAATACTGAAGCGCAGGCCCTGAAAAGTTCAAAAAACTAATTATAGAATTGTAATTCTATTAAAGTTAATACTAATTGAAAAATACATCAGTAGTTACATAAATATTAGTATCATTCTAATCCAAAAGTTAAATATTAAAAATAATACTATAAATGCATCCATTTTATCAATTCTTAAACAATTCAAGCTAAATTGTTTATAATTTTTTGCAATAGTTTAGTTAGTGAAGTTTAATGATAAAGTAGGTTATGAAATTCTATAAGCAAAGATTTTTTAATTAAATGAAAATAATTCATTAAATCCGTTTAAAAATAATTATGAATCATCTAAAAAAATGTGCTCCTATTCATAAAATTATTCTAGCTAATAATAAATTTGTATTTTATCTGTAAATTAAAATATTGTATAATAGTTATTTTGGTGTACGTTTTTAAAAGTTTAATTCACATTTTAATTATATTATTTAGTTAATAGGCCAGAACAACCTGATAGTAGTGTTAAAACTGGCTTTGATAAAGGACATAAAACATATACAAAATCACAGGAAGAAAAAATCTAAAAGTTATTATAAGCATTTATCATAGATAAATTATAACATGATTTGTAAATGTAAGTATATTCTAGTTTGAAAGTAGACTCTGAAGATATTGAAAACATTAAGATACTTGTTGAGGTTAGAACATAAATATTAGGATCTATTTTAATAGGGATACTAAATTCTACAAACTTAACATTGTAGCTACTCATATTATTAAATTAATCTGATAATAGTGAGAGAAGGGAGTAATTATTAAAATATTAGGCATAAACTATAAAAGCAGTTGTTCCATTAAAAATAGATTATACTTTGGTTGATTATGGCTCTTATGATGAGGATTAAAAAACTATATTCATCTTTGCATCTAGTATTCTCATTAAATACAATTATTTCTCCTAATAACAATCAAGTAAAATTTCAAACTCTAAAGACAAATTTATGCTAAAACAAATAAATGAGGATTCGATTTGTTAAGACTGTCCAATTTATTAGAGTACTTAATTCTTCCATTCGTATAAAGTAACTTCATTTTGTTTTGAAAGCGTAGCAAAATGGGTCTAATTTGTTGATACTGACTAAAATTCTATAATGTCATTGATAATATTTACAATTTCCTTCTGTTCCATAAATTTCTTCCCATTAATTGATTAATTCCACATTTGGTATTTGAGAACTTATTTTGCATTTTATAGATTCTACCTGACGTGTTTTAATAGTCTTTTATAAGTAGTATAAAACATCATCTAGAACGTATTCAAAGTATTCTCCTACTGTTGGATATAAAGCAACAGCTTTCTAGGAACTGTAGATGGGTATCTACTAAATAATTAAGAATAAAATCATCATTTTTGTATTTTTTAAATAAAATAATAATTCAAGTATATAGGTTGATATTAATACAATAGTGGTTGTCTATATAATATTAATATATTAACTATCAATTTAAAATCTTTACTATCAAATTAATTCAGCCTGCAAAAATAGCTTTTTTTAATTCTATATCTCTGACATGTTAGAATCCAAATTTTTGGTATTATTTCAACTAATATATGAATACATTTCCTTTTATAAATTCATTTTTAAATTACCAAAAATATCTTTTCTAAAGAAATTAATTATAAATAATTTTTAGTAAATTAACGTAAGAAATATATATTAGGAAAACATAAATTTGCCTTCAAATTTTATGATAAGTAATATTTAGAGGATGGAAGGAGTATATGGTGTGAATTGAAAAATGATTCACAAACAAAAAGATTAAATTTAAAAATTATCTTCAAGACATAAATATTTAAAGAGTGAAAATTTAATGATTTTAATTGTAAAATTTATAATTTTGAACCTTTATATACTATCTGGTCCATTCATTTAACTTGATTCTGTAATTTATCTATGAGCAAATTCATCATAGTTATTCCTATAGAACAAATAGTAATATTTGTACCTTATATTATAAAAATCAATTAAAAATATTTGATTGTAGAAAATTAGGCAAAATACTTTTTCTAAAGACAGACCATAATGCTATAATCAACATATTAATAGTATTTGAAAAAGTTTAAGAATAAAAATACCATAAATTGGAATTGAGATTTATTTGACAAAATATTGTGATGGATTATACTTAGCATTATATATTGAAAATATATATAAATACCAATCATATTTTTATATTAAATAGCGAATTTAAAAATAGAAGCTATCCTACTATGCTCTCATTATATTGATTAACTAATATGAAATTATCATTTGGTTGTGATAAAAAAATGTATTATAAAGGATTTAAACTAGAGGCAATTACGAAATATAACAAAATATATTTGATTATTAAAGGATTCTAATCTCAATATATAATTATACATCCTGAGTTATAATCCTTATTAATTAGTTGGTTGAATTATAAATTAATAATATTTATACTATTTTATTATGAATATAATTCAAATGTATTGAAATTAATTTTATTTCGTTTTTATATTTAGTAGTTTGAACTGTTCTGTTCATGTAAAATGATAGATTTTTATATCATTTTTCGTAGATCTATATATTGAATTGAACTTACTGCAATTGAAGTATAGTTAAAGGTGGAATTATTATCAAATAATTTTACTTACGAATTAAATTATTCCTAAATTACTCTTTCTACTATTCAAAAAACAAATATCAACTTCTCCTCTTTTAAGACTACAAATTCCCCGAGTTAATTTACTGATATATAGCAAATTTAAATTCCTACTTCTTTTATTGATTAAGCATACTATTGAATAAATTCTTAAATTAAGATTTGGAAAGTTTCTATAATAGTTTACATAAAAATTTTCAATTATTATTTTGTTTTCTTCCAAAAAATATTGGTTATTCAGACTCACACCACATGTAATTAAAAAGCCTAATCCATTTGATGATTAATTATAAATGAAGCCAGTGTGATCGTCCAGCGAATTGTAAAAATTCAAATGATTTTGATCAAATCAACATCTGTTTTATGCTATTCTCTTTTTAAATTATATCCCTGTAATTCAATTATTTAAATGAAGCAAAAGATCTGATTTATAAATACATTAAATAATTCTGATTATTGATCTCTTCTTGGAAGTAAGATAAAATAGGATCTCTGTTATAAATAGATTAATATATTGTAGTTAATGTTGTGTATTTAATAAATTGCAAAGTATTTTGATATTCATAAATTAAATCATCTTTGATAGAAACTCAAAAATATTATATTTGACTTCCATTTTATCATACATATTATCCTAATTAAACCCTAATAAATGATAAATACAATTTTTCAAATTATTATAAATAATTTTTAGTGTTATATAAAATGTAAGAAATCCAATCATCATCACCATCCATTATCCAGCAAACATAATCCAAAATTCATGAGAGTAAAAGTCGGGTATCAAATAGATATACTTCTCAATTTATATTTTTTCGTCAGCTTTTACTAGGATAGATGAATTTATTGACTCGTTTCTACTGATACCCTTCAAAAGATAAATAATTCAACATAACTACAGCTAGAAATATCTTAATGTGTTTAATTTTCTATCTCTGAGTTTAACTACGAATCACAAATGTTTTCAGGAGTGACTCCCTTAATATATCAATTTATAAAGAATGAATAAAAATTTAAGAAAAATTCTAATGTAAAAATATTATCAAATAGATAATGATCAATCAAGAGGAAGGAAGTAATAAAGAATCTTAACAAATTTTACTCAAAGAATCTGATTGTATTTTATTTGAAGAAAACTAAAAACTTATTAGCTAGCCAAAGAATAAAGTAATGAAATACAACATTGAATAATAATTTATGATGGATAAATAAGTTGAATTTAAATTAATCGATGACACAACTAAATAAAGTTTATAATGCTACAATATTGTGTTTGATATTTGATGGCAATAAATTAATTAGAAAGATTGGAAGGTTTCATAACCATTACTAATTAATAACATAATGGACAGGTCGATTGTTTTATGTTAAATAATAGGAGATTAACTGATATCAGGGGGATGTGATCATAAAATAAAAGTTTGGTTGGTAGATTTAAAAGAATGAGTTGGTTTTTCTGTATTCCTTAGATTAACATACCAACTCTGTAGGATCGTTAAGACCTTAAATATATCCTCGAGGATATTATTAGTTTTATTCTTTATGGATTAATTTATAGTATTTAAAAATATTAATAAAAATATTTGATGCAATTATGTAATTCTATCTTTTAATTTCATTTTGAATTCCATAACAACCAACCTTAGCTGCTGGATATTAAATTCATTTCATTTAATGATCAATAATTTTTTGGGTACCTTTACACTTGTATATTAATGATCTTTTGGTATTTGAATTATAGAACTGAGTCTTTTCATCTATTTCAAATAAAACCATCACTTTTACAAAAATTATGAATGTGAAGATAGGAGCTGCTTTCCAAATATAAATAATAAAGTTAGAGATGTAAGATTCTTAGACATAAATGTCATATCTATTTGATAAGAGAATTTGATAATGGCACATTTAAAATTGTTTCAACTTTAAATTTTTAAAATGAGGTGACATGTGGGACGATGACAAATAATGGGTAGTATTTAGTATTTCAGGACAATAAGTCTGCAAAGTATTTATCATATGAATTATTATACTAATGATTCAAAAATTACTATCTTCCTATTTCACTCTGATTTAATGCTTATTGTCAATAATAGCATGAACTCAGTTTCTCTGCATTATTAAGTGATATAAAATTATCTAAAGATTTATTTAAATTTGAATATTATTTTAAATATCAGAAGTATTTCTAATTAAAGTTACTAGTTTATTGTTCTGGATTTATCTAATCAAACAAAAAGATAATTAACTTCTCCCTAATTTAAATAAATGTTCTACTAAAATTAAGTTGATATTGATAGTAACAATCCATAAAAAATATTATAAATAAATGAATTTAAATAATTTAATTGATTTACATCAAAATAGTTCATTATTAAAAAAAATAAACAAATAATGAAGTAAATGAATATTTAATAATAGATTAGACTTCAATCTATCTTTTGAAATATTATATTGATTGGGAAACTGTTGCTTAAGATGAATAAGTTTTAATTAAAAATTTAAAATATTTGCAAATCACTACAATCTGATCAAAACCCTTCATAATGTAAATGAAACATATTTTGACATCAAACTTTTCATAAAATTCATCCAAACTATTTTAATTATATATAGATTAATATAAATTTGAGGCAGAAGTTAATGGTAAGCTGCTAAAATTCTAACACATGAATTCTGATGGTAGAAAGTAAAGATATTATAGGAGGTTAAAAAACATGAAACTGCCTAAACTCATAGAAATAACATTTTTTAAGCAAGTGTATGAGCGTCGGTACTATACTTTCCTTTATAATTAGGTAGTAAATTGTTGGGATTTAGGATAGGAAAGGATTAGATGTAATTGGAATTGTTACTAAATTAATTACACAACTTTCAATCACATAAGCAAAATAAAAATTTTTAGGGAAATATACAATTGAATCAGATAGATTGATAAGAGTATGACCCTGTGTTTTGCAATTTAAGAGCAATTTTTATAAAGAACATAAATGATGGGTTTGAATGGAATTCTTTCTTATTTAAGATTTAAAAAAAAATGAAGTATGTTAAAAAATAAGTTCCCATATCAAAATATTACAATTTATCTTGAAGTGTACATATTTTAAAATATTTTTCATTATGAATTTGAAGATCAAATATTGAAGTGTAGTTAAACTTTGAATATTTAGAAAAATAAGTACTTAAGCAATATCAACTGGCACTCTTATGCATTAAATTGAAGCATACGTTGTCTGTCAATACTTGATTTACACTCACTCGGATCAGCTAAGCGCTGTTTCGAAGTATGAGTACACCTTGTTACATTTAGCGCTCAAATGAGCTGCTCAATAAGCCAATTCTCGATATCAAAGCCTTAGAATGCCAATCATTGAAAAAATAAGTGCAACAACAAGAGTTTTTGAAAGTCCAGAAATACGTTTTCTAATGCAGAAAGTTGAAGCACCAATTAATTGATGACTGCGATAAGCCAAGAAAGAACTCAGCCGAGATACAATTGGGATAGGGTTTAGCATTTCTATTACGGTCTCTTTTTTCGATATAGACATCATATTAAGAATAAAAATTCATTGTCGAGGTAGAATAAAGTTCACAGTTGAACGCAAATAAACTTATAATTAAAAAAACAAATGCCAAACAGCACCACATGCTTCAGCATCACCAGTGAATAGTATATCCAACAGTATTATATAATCAAACATCTCTAAGTTTTTAAAAATACCTTAATAATCAAAATAATTACATTCTTTATAATACGTTAACAAAGTATATCGTTTCTTCCTGTGTCGTAATATCCTGAATTGCATAAGCACTTGTTTTCTGCAGTCAAATGTCGATTTGTTTCACTAGAACATACTGTACAATTAGTTAGCAAGAGTCCATTGCAACTTAGACAAGTATAATCACATTCTTGAATATAAAATGAAAGCATACTAAAACAAATATCTACAATGCCAACTTCTCCATATCCTTTCTTACAAACGCATTTTAAATCACTAGAGACTGTTCTATTCTATTCAGCTATGCACATCGAGCAGTATTGATTTGATGAATTATCTTCTGGAGATTAGCATTTTTCGCATCTTGGATGACAGTCTTAATTTTCATTTATTAATACTTTTGCATAAAGTTGAACCATCATTTTAAACAACATTTTTTGTTCATGGAGCACAGATATATTTTCCGTCGACTAATTCTTTATGATAAATGTTTGGATCTCCACAATCTGTACAATTATTCTCAAACGGTCCTGAGAAATTGTAACAAGAAAAATAACATTCTAATTTGAAAATTTAAGAAAATTACATTAACAAATTTTATTATCTTATCCAGTACCCTTGCTTGCATGGACATTTACTATCAATAAGATTTCTATATTGTAATGGATCACATGATGTACATTCTCCAAATATTAGAGTACATGTCAAACAAAATCCAGTTGAACATAAAATACATTCACCATCTAACTCTGCATATCCTAATGTTTAATCACACACGCATTGTCCTGGGACAATTCTAGAACTCCGCATTTATTAAGTGAAGCAGGTTGTACAATAATCAGGTTGCGTAACATAACATGTTTGACAAATCGGGTTGCTTTCTTCAATAATAAGTTCACATTTTTTACCTGGAGCCAAATAATGTGTCGAAAAACAACTTCTACATTCATTTTCTTTATCGCAAAGAAAGCAATTTTCTGTTCCCGCTGTGTACTGACAAGCTAATATAATTAATTATATTATAAAAAGCACAATGATTCCCTTTTTTAAAAAATCCGATGTCGCATTATTGGCAGTCAGTGTCTACCGCTATTCCATTCGAATCATAAATATAATCGTATTTCATGCACATCTTGTCACACAAACATTAAGATCTTTTAATACATAAGGCCATGTACAAATTTAGCAGTCTCCTTCAAAACAAGTTTTACAATTAGTTGGACAAGCTAACTATAAAAAGATACATGGTACCAACACATTGTCCATTCTATAATTCATAACCATCCTTACATTCACTGAATGAATATACACCTCCCACTTTTTAACAAACTTTATGAGTTGCTTGACATTCTTTGGATAATGATAATATATCTAACTTAATGTGCATTTCTAGTCAGTGTTACTTGATGGGGACTGACCATCATCGCAACTATCGCAAAATGAATTAGTAGGATCACATGTTTTACAATTTGAACCACATTCTTTAGAATTAATAAAATTTATACTTGGAACTGCAAAAGATTATGAACAATTTTCGCCATATCCTGACCAACTGCAATATTAGCATTTATAGATATCCTAATATTTTTATCCAATTAAGCAACCATGATTAGACAATGATGGTATAGATTCAGTTGAAAAAACGACGTTTCCATCTTGGTCATATGAATAAATCAAAGTATATGGATATTTTCCAAAAAATAAATGTGAATTAGTATTCGGCCCAAATTCATAACTTTAGACCTAAGGATTACACAGTGTTTCACGCCCATTGGAAGAAACCTTTACAATTAATTCAGTTGTTCCGACGCATACTTTTCCAATACCTAACTTAGGATAAATAAATTAACCTGCACAGAGATGAGGGTAGATGCCTGGAAAGTATTACAACGAAGGAGGGCATTACTTCTAAAATATTGCTTTGTTAAATTGAGCTGCAAAGGATCGAAAACCTAAACAAACTTAGATTAACCACATATTGATGAGGTACTTGAAGAAAGTCATCTGATATTTCTATTTATATGTTTTTATTTATTGATTTTCTAGGCTTTTAATCACGATTTATAATGAATTTAAATAATATAAGAAAAGATATTTAACATAATTACCTATTTTATATTGACTTTGCTTTGAAATTGGGACAAAAATTTACTATCCCTGAATAACTTTAGATCATATAAATTTTCTTATACAATTTTACATTGCAGTTGTTAATTTTGATCTCAGCGAGTATTTTATAAGTAAAATTCAGATTTATAATGTTAAATATTCCCTTTTTTTGTTACACTCAATATTTGGTATTTTTCATTTTTATTCAGTCTTGATTGGAAATGATACTCAGAATTAGTGGTTTATATAGTCTAATGGTATTACCATGTAGATCCAAGCCAAATATAATAAATCAATAATCAATCGATTAAGCTACTTCCCTACAAATTGCTACAAAGCTCAATCATATTCATTTTGTAAGGCTCTCTAATAATCGTTTTGCTGATTTGAAAACTCTTAGACTTTTCCATTGATCACTCAAAACAGAATTTCAAGTTTATAACAAAATTAAATTAACAGCTTTCTGAGCATTCTAGAAATGGAACAAAGTAATAATTTCCAGAATAAGTAATGGAGGTAAAACTAACAGATTACTTAAAAAAATTGAAAATGCTTCTAATATAAGAATAACATTATTTTATTTTAAAATTATTTTTAAGAAAATTTTGTAATTCCTACTCGAAATTAAAATTACTTTCTATGTTTTTTATAAAAATTTGAAAAATCCTCTAAATTTATTTAAATAACATAAATAAGTTTCGTACTTAAATGTAATAATGTTAAAAAAAATCCTAATTTAGTATGAAATAATACAATTTGATAATTGCATGAATTCAGAGAATATTTTTTTCTCAAATCTTTATTCTAATTAAAATAATTTATTTTTGATTAATTTTAATTAAACCTGGTTTGCTTAGAAAGGAATCCCAAATTTCTCATAATTTATTTATCTGGAAAATAAAAATGATTTGAATGATTTTCCTTTAACGAGTTCTTAAATATCATTTCNGTAACTTTAGACCTAAGGATTACACAGTGTTTCACACCCATAGGAAGAAACCTTTGCAGTTAATTCAGTTGTTCCGACGCATACTTTTCCAATACCTAACTTAGGATAAATAAATTAACCTGCACAGAGATGAGGGTAGATGCCTGGAAAGTATTACAATGAAGGAGGACATTACTTCTAAAATATTGCTTTGTTAAATTGAGCTGCAAAGAATCGAAAACCTAAAAAAACTTAGATTAACCACATATTGATGAGGTACTTGAAGAAAGTCATCTGATATTTCTATTTATATGTTTTTATTTATTGATTTTCTAGGCTTTTAATCACGATATATAATGAATTTAAATAATATAAGAAAAGATATTTAACATAATTACCTATTTTATATTGACTTTGCTTTGAAATTGGGACAAAAATTACTATCCCTGAATAATTTAGATCATATAAATTTTCTTATACATTTTTTTACATCGCAGTTGTTAATTTTGATCTCAGCGAGTATTTTATTAGTAAAATACAGATTTATCATGTTAAATATTCCCTTTTTTATTACACTCAATATTTGGTATTTTTCATTTTTATTCAGTCTTGATTGGAAAAGATTCTCAGAATTAGCGGTTTATATAGTATAATGTTATTACCATGTAGATCCAAGTCAACTATAATAAATCAATAATCAGTCGATTAAGCTACTTACCTACAAATTGCTACTAAGCTCAATCATATTCATTTTGTAAGGCTGTCTGATAATCGTTTTGCTGATTTGAAAACTCTTAGACTTTTCCATTGATCACTCAAACAGAATATCGAGTTTATAGCAAAATTAAATTAACAGCGTTCTGAGCATTCTAGAAATGGAACAAAGTAATAATTTCCAGAATAAGTAATGGAGGTGAAACTAACAGATTACTTAAAAAAATTGAAAATGCTTCTAATAGAAGAATAACATTATTTTATACTTATTTTTTAAGAAAATTTTGTAATTCCTGCTCGAATTTAAAATTACTTTATACGTTTTTATAAAAATTTGAAAAATCCTATAAATTAATTTAAACAACATAAATAACTTTCGTATTTAATTGTAATAATGTTAAAAATTCTAATTTAGTATGAAATAATACAATTTGATAATTGTATGACTTCAGAGAATATTTTTTTCTCAAATCTTTATTCTAAATAAAATAATTATTTTTTATTAATTTTAATTAAACCTGGTTTGCTTAGAAAGGAATCCCAAATTTCTCATAATTTATTTTTCTGGAAAATAAAAATGATTTGAATGATTTCGAATTCTTAAATATCATTTCAACATAATTCTCTTTCATGTCACTAAATAGTATATTTATCACTAATAATATTATGAAAAAGGGAGAATAGTCTAGTAAAACCCAGAAATTTAGATTATGCGACTTCACAACAGCTACAGTAACAAGTTATAATAAAAATGGAGAATGATTGTTGATAATTCGTATTGTTAAAATTATGCTGAGATAAGTTTAAGCATGAAAGCGATTAATAATTCATTATTATTATAAATAATTCAACGAATTTTTAATATTAGGTGTAGAGAATAAAAGATATTGGAGTTTGATGCTAGAGAAAATAAGCATTTTTTGACTTAATCTTCTGTTAGTATGATTTAATTGAGTAAAAAGATTTTTTGCTATTGATCCAAGAGGTAAATTTGTCCGCAGCATTGGGTGGGATAGTTCTTTGTGTATTTACTATCATATGGATAGTAAAAAAATGCAGTTTGATCCTGATTAGATATAGATGAGTTCACCACGGTAATTTTGATAGCCACTGAGACTTTTTATACTTTAATCAGGCCAAGATCCTTTTAAATTTGGAATTCTTGCGAGATAAATGCATAACATAATCATTAAAACAATAAGGAATCTTATAATAAAAAGTATCAATATTATATTTTGCGTAAGTGTAAAACAAGTATTGTAAAATTCATGATTGATTATTAAGTTGGCATTGTTAATTATTAAGTGAAATAATACTTCGATAGATTAAAATTGAAAAATAAGAATAGGGTATTGCAGGCTTTGTTACTTTGCATAGACTATTTTTCCTTATTGCTTGTCTTAAATAAATTCTATTAACCTATTCCATTCTTAAATGTTAATTTGCATTGCATTTATGTTGAACTCTAAATTAATAATAAAATACTAAATAGATCTTGATTATGAGTAGTTTTAATTATTTCATCTTAATTTTCATCTTCAATAGTTTTGGATTTAATAGTTTTACTGATGATAAATCATCTAAAGGTTTGCAGTTGTATTTACAGTTGTATTTACAGTTTGACTCTGATTCGATGAAATAGTTTTTAGGAATGGTTTTATTTTATGAATAGTATTTGCTGTGTAAGCAGATTAAATCAGATGATAATAATCTGTTGATTGAAGATTAAATCCAAAGGCTGAGAGAAAGGGTTAATAAATTTATATAATAAATATAATTTAGAATAATCAAATCCATGTATATGGTTCATTGTGATCATCAATGTACACAAAGGCTTAACGTCTGGAGTTATCTAAATTAATGAGTTTCAAAATGCGCATTCCCTAATTGCATTATCTTGTAAGATATGAAAAATGAGACTTAAAACTTCTACTGCTTAATTGCAATAATTATTTTGAATTATCTAAATGAAGTGATGTAAGAATATTAAAATCAGCCCTAGTTAGCCATCTGCTTCAATAATGACTTTGATCAATCTAGATTAATAAAAAGTTGAATTGCAAATGCAAATTCAAATATGAGGCTTAATTAATCTTCACAATTTATGTTTATACCAGATCAATTATTATCTATAGGCTAAAAGTTCATGCATACACAAAAAAATCATAATTGTGAGCAATAACCACACTGCAGAAAACATTAAACAATTTTTGTTCATTCTTAATTTTCTATAGATTAGAACACAATTAATTACTTCAATACTTAACTACATGGAAATTGTTTATGTACTTGTGTTTTATTTAAAATTAACAATAACGTCATTTTTAATTAATTCTTAATATTAATTAATATATATATGTTCAATTCATTTTCAAGCGTTTTGATTATATTTGGGGAACTAGGGTTTACATTAAAGATATACTTAATAACTTGATAAACAATATTAACTTGACGTGTATGTTTAAGTTTGGCCACCATGGTACCGTGGATCTCTTATTTTGACTTATATTCCATTTACAATTAGGATTGATTTAATTTCAAAAGGAATATTTCTAACTTAGCTTGTTTGATTTCCGTTACAAATTCTCCACACATCTCCTTAAAAATTACAATCACTATAAAATTCTACACAAGGCTCTAAAATTTCTAAAGTGAATCCCCTCGCCCCCCAACTCTCTAATTTAAGAAATTATATTACCATTATCCGCATTCTCATCAAAATGACCTTGTAAAGTTAATTTAAGTGTCTTTGTTCCTTGTGGCAGATAAAAAATATATGATTTCGATTAGAACATATCTGGATAAAAGGAATTGAAACACATTGTAGTTCCTTCATTAGGACGGTATGTGAAGGTATCTAAAACAGCATTATTAGCTAAGACTTGTAACGAATCACTGCCCGCATCCCAACTATCGAATTTACCAATAGTGAAGCTAAAATGAAACTTAAGCCCTAGTATATTATTATTGAATTCTAAGGATATTTGTTCCGAACAAGAAAATTGCCCTTTAAATAACATGCCTGCGCAACCAACTACCCTATTTGACCAATCGTTATTAAAACAATCACCACTTTGAGCATCGATACAGTTTTGATAAAATAGGATTGGATAGAAAAACAGAATCTTAATGAATGAAACCCCTGGCATTGATTTCCAATGAGCAAAATTTAAATTTATTATTAATTATTAAACATATTACTCACCGATATATCATGTTTAATTATCAAATTGAAGTTATAAGGTGTATAAATATTTTAAAAAATAAGCAATCCCTAGATCTTTGAGTTCAGAGAGAGTTGAAAAATAATTTCTTCAGTCAAAATATGCCTACTAGTAAAGGTTAGACTAAGAATAGTACCTACATTTACAATTAGAAATTGCAAGTGGATGCATTAAATTATATAGATTATCTAATTCTGACTTTCTTTAGTCAATATTATAATTTCAGAATGATATGATATGAAATTATATTTCAATTTAATAATCAAATTACAAATTGTTTCATTCATATACATTAACTATTGTAATCATAAAAGGTTCAACTAATATGGATTATCATTCTTAGCAAGTACTAACATAATTATCATATTAATGGTATTATATTAATATTTAATAACTGTTTTTTTACTTTCAATTAAACATAATAATTGAGATTTCAATAAAATTAAAAAAAATAAACTCACTTTTTTTTAGACAGAGATTCTAAAAAATTGTAGTATTAATATTTTTAAAAGTATTATGAAGAAAATCAAGCTACCTTTGTAAATTTTCTCTAAAGTTGTTAAAAATTATTATGTCTTTTTATATAGGGTTAAATAATTAATTCTAGGCCAGAATTCGTACTCGTATACAAAGTTTTATAACTAAGTATTTGCATTACTTTCAACTATGGTTTTGCTTTTCAAGGTAGCAATAATTAGGCATTTACTTAAACCGATGGAGGTAACAAGGGCAAACTTCAAAATATCATTTAATCCTTTCTATTTTTATCAATATCCTTCTATCATAGTTGAAAGTCTCATAATGGGTGATAATAAGCTTCTTCTTTCATTGCAATCGCATCATTGCTCAGGAGAGACTGGAAAAAATGATTGCCTCAAATTATTCTAATGTAGATCTCATTACACAGTAGGGCTAAAGCCAAAAGGAACACCATTTCAAATATATCTCTTAAATGAGGTTGATTTTGAAAGTTTGAATATTTTTTATTTGATTGGTTCCCTCTATACTTACACACATTTTCAAACTTTTATATTGAATAATTTTTCCTAATAAGGAAACCTAATATAATTTAGGATTTGTTATAGAACAAACCCTAAATACTGGAAGACAATATGCATTTATTTTTTAACCTTAAGCCGTTTCCATATTCTATATTTTTTGTCATAATTTTTTTGCTATTGTCTGCAATCTTTTGATGCTACAAAGTTACCGATGAGCGAGCTAATTAAAGTAGAGAGTAGAGATACTAAATGGACTAAACCTTAGCTAAACAAAAAGGATTCCACTCAAAATTTAATGACCTTTCTAAACTAATAGAACGATGAAAATGCACATCACTTTCTTGTTTGAGGTGTA